GAAAGCTTGTGAATTAAGACAATATCGAAGCATACGCACAGTATGCACATATGCCAATAACAGACGGCTCAATTGCAGTGTCTTAAACCTCAATACAAGCGAAACAATATCAAGTGAATACTATAATTGTGATCGCTATTAACTAATTTTTACATAAGCTTTCGGAATTTGAGTGCGAATTAGTAACTGATGGCTTGAAAAGATGCAGACGTAAAGATGAGGATTGGTAAAGCAAGCACAGCTTTCCTTTAATTGAAGAACGTATAGAACTCAAAACAACTGACTGTCAACCAATATCAAAGTCAAAATCTTCAATACGAACATCAAAGCAGTTCTACTGTACGAAGCTGAAGCATGCAAAATTACTACAATCATCATCAAGAAGGTACAAGTATTTATAAATTGCTGTCTACGTAAGATACTCAACATCCATTGGTCGGATACTATCAGTAACAGTCTTCTGTTGGAAAGAACAAACCATCTTCCAGTTAAAGAGAAATTTACCAAAAGACGTTGAAAGTGGATAGGACATACATTACGCAAATCACCAAACTGTAAGCGCTATCTTGGAATCATGAAGGGAAACGGAAAAGAGGAAGGCCAAAGAACACACTACATCAGGAATTGAAACAGATGTGAAAAGGATGAATAGGAAGTGGAGAGAACTGGAAATGTTCCTCGACAGGATGTAGCAGGCGTAAGTAAGTATGTAAGTAAGGATTGTGAGTGAAAATTTAGTCATCAGTGGCATTAAATAATCGTCTGACTATATCATGCATTGACTTAAATTGAAAATGAACATGTTACTATTAATAATCTCTTATTGATAGTTTATTGATGAATTAAATGGTAGCTCCATGTTTATTGGACATTTAATGCCTATCCCTGTTTTCGTTACTTCAAATATATACTTATCAGTTAGATTAGATTTTATTGTTATAAATTGTAGGTTTGTGCCACTATCAGTGTATACCGCCAATTAGAGACTTAGCGATTTATCGACTGGATCAATGACGTATAAACCCGTACGAACAGTCTAGAATCCTTATTGTTCTTTCTTTTTGATTAGCTCTGCTTGCCTGTTGAGTCCACAACACAAATCTCAGTCTTCACGACATGAATCATATATTTCGACCATACCGGGTTTATATACAAACCAATCAGACCACATCGTACCATAAAAGGGAAAATAACGTTTGTACAAGATCTAGCCAAAAGTAGCTGTGAATGTAAGAGACTGTAATTGATAAACTGGGCATAACTCGAGAATAGCAAATCGTATAATAATAGTTCATAGGTCAAAATAAAGCCTGGAAGAAGAGGAACGCGAATAAGCATAGTTTAGTTACGTAACTATGATAGAGTAAGTATATACGTATAGTATTAAATCAGAAATAGATTCCAATAGTTACCATTCATTATTATTATTATCGAGATATGTAACCGAAAACAAGATGAAGTATGTATATCTATCAAAGAGATGCTAAAACAAACTTATGAATTTATTACTGACAATTTTACGAACTGGATGTTCGACCCACTTTTCTAGCAACTTCTAATAACCCAATATAGTAACTGAAACATAAAAGGAAAGGTATGAATCATAAAAAAAAGGATTTGCTCCATGATTAAAGTATGTACAGGAAATCATCCATGTTCATACTCAATAATGTGACCTTGGTCATCTGGAAAGTTCTGAAGGTATACAAATACATCAGTAAGATGATATCTATTTGATCAGAAGCATGACACATGATCTATAATTCTTCTAGATGTTTCGAAGCACTTCTATTCAATCCTGATTGTATGAAATATTTCAAAGAACTTTCTGGGTCCTCATTGACTTTTCCAAAGAACGTTTTGGAACTTCTCTACAATTTAACATGTAATTACACTTATCTTGGTAAGCAGATTAATTCATCAATAATCAATGTAAACATTCATTGTGATCTTGGACGTGAGTATCGCATCAACAAAAATGACTCCTGAAGTTCTTGACGAAGTTCTGTTCTCTGATCTGGATGATTTGGTCGTGGACTTTTTCATCGTTCTTCTGAACAACATCATCAGCACAAACTTTAAGTAGAAGTGAAGTGTTCAAATTTCTCCACATGTTGTTCACAAATTGTCCTATAGACCTCGATGTTGATTAGTTCTTGTTGACCTTAAACTTGTCATTGTTTATTTCTTTATTTTGGTTGTATCTTCCTAATAAATATGGATTAGAAGAATATTTTTCACATTGTCACCAATGTGTAACTATGATCTAATCAACAATGAATATTTTGACTGATTTTATCGGTGAGACTATCATTTATGGATGATATCTGAGCGACACCAAGGTAACCTTGAGCGTGTCTACCTATTTACTAGGGCTAAATTGGGGCTATTAAGCAATTTGGAGAATAAGGATTATGATTCATAGTTGATGGTTAGGGTTAAGAATTAGATTTACGGTTTCTCATCACGAACTGATATCAGCTAAAATGTCAAGATGCTATTTAGCCAAATGTTTAGGACCTATCGGTTATGGGTTCGAATCCCGCGCGGTGGGATTGTGGTTGTGTACTTCTGAGGAGTCCCATACTAAAACGAAACGGCCGTCCAGTTCTTTCAGGTTTTCCATGGTGGTCTAGCTTCAATTAAATCAAGATCTTAATTAGTAAAATATTATTTTCTTAGTGTATCACATTAGATGTGTATGAATAAAAGTCTGATAACTAACAAAATGACTATCTTGTTTAATGAGTACACTTATTGAAGTCGGGAAAAATGTTGGTTACAGAACTTAAGATGCATCAAACGTATCATCTTCAAAATACTTTCGATTGATTGTAATCATCTTATCTTTGTTTCTGATGGAGTTTTGTTCTCTGAGCTGAATGGTTTGATCGTGGAGATTTCACCATTCTTCTAAACAACATCATCAGCATAAACTTCAAGTAGAAGTGAAATGTTCGAATTTCTCAACATATGACTCCCAGCTTGTCCTGTAGACCTTGATGTTGATTGATTCTTGTTGACTTAAAACCTATCATTGTTTACATGTTTGTTTTGGCTGTATCTCCAATTGGTTAGATTTTTGTTCTCATGTTTGTTCATAATTTTCCTGATTAGTTGATAAATTGGATGGATTTCAATCTGCTTGTTGATTGCTGATTGTCCACATTTTTTTTTCAGTCGAATGTATATCCACAGTTGTTCATGTGCATTAATATAAGTGAGAATATGTCATAGTATTTGACCGCTAATTACTATTCATGCAGGTGAAGATGAAGAGGGCGTTCTTTTTGTCCGATAGAATATATCGGACGACATCATCAGCACAAACTTCAGATAGAAGTGAAGTGTTCGAATTTCTCCATATGCGTTTCACAGCTTGTTCTGTGCACCGCGATGTTGATTGGTTCTTATTGACCAATCAACCAATCAACATCGAGGTGCACAAAACAAGCTGTGAAACGCATATGGAGAAATTAGAACACTTCACTTCTATCTGAAGTTTGTGCTGATGATGTCGTTCAGAAGAACGATGAAAGCTCCACGAATTTCATTTAAGGTTTTCATCACATCAGCTATATTGCCAAAAGTCTATTTAGCCAAATGGATGAATGAATTTAGAGCCGAAATCTGAGATCTGTTATCTTATACGTGATTAGTTCGTTCATAAATTATAGTTTCACCAACGGTAATGTCAAACTTATCGAATGGTCAGTGGTATCTCTGTAGATCGCAAATAATGGAGAAATCGATACTATCCCTGAACGAACTAATTAGATGGAGTCCCTTGCATTTGTGCACCAGTAAATTCATCCATACAATTACAGAGCATTTTTGCTTTATAGCTGATGTAAGTTTGTGACGAAAATCCTAATCTTCATTCGAACTATTTAATTCTAATCAAGAACAATCTGAGAAATGCTAAAAAATGTATTTGGATGTTTAAAGTACCCGAGAAGAAGGGTAATCTTTATCCATAAGGATGAACATCATTCCTTTTTATTTATTTATAGGGCAAAGTAACCTGTAGAAGGCCTAGCTTGGAATCCTGGAGGGAAGTGGAAAAGAGGAAGGCCAAAGAATACATTACGTCGGGAAATAGAAGCGGATATGAAAGGGATGAATAACAACTGGAAAGAGCTGGAAAGGATTGCTTGAGACAGGGTTGGATGTAGAATGCTGGTGAGCGGCCTATGCTCCTTCGCGAGGAGTAACAGGCGTAAGCACATTAGCACCTATCTGTACTAATGCACTATCTCAAGATCAAACAGTAGATGGTAAAGTACTTAATTGAAGTCTCAGACAATATACCCTTGTTTGAAATGGGAAGGATAATTGTTTATATACCAATGATTGATGTATCTAACATTTCGTTTCAGCAATTAAACTTTCCTATTTACTTCAGTTTTACCATTTGAATTGTGGATATAGTAAAAGTAGGAAGCGTTTATCAGGTAGAAGAACATAACAATATCTCAGTACTTTATACATCTACTCAAAGCATCTGAAGTATATATATATATATATATATATGTTGCACATTATCCTAATTGTCTATATCAAAATGTATAGGGAATTCATGTGAGTCAACATATCTACAAATAACCGAATACGTATTTCAGTAGATTTTCAATCCTAACATGAAATCCTTAAGGAAGAGGAATGCCCAAGAACACATCACGTCGGAAACTAGAAGCAGATATGAAAATAATGAATAACAACTGGAAAGAGCTGAAAACAATTGCTGAGGAGAGGGTTAGATGGAGAGTTCTGGTAGGCGGATTATGCTCCTCCACGAGGAGTAACATGCGTAAGTAAGTAAATCAGTCAGTCAGTAAGTAAGTAGATTTTCAATGTCTATCTTGTATAATACACGTTTGATTTCTTGGTATCATCATCATAAGTATCATTGTAGGTTAAATAAACAAAATTAATAATCCATTGAAAGATGTATATTTTGTCTAGTACATATGAATTAGATCTAAATTAATTCATAAATTTCATTCGGATTTATCACATTCACTTTCGGATTTAGCTTCATATGGTCTTTCTTCAGAATCACTAAAAAGCAAAACATATAAGCAAACATTACAGTTTATAAAATTATCCAAGATGCATATTTCGTCCTGTTTGAGACTCGTCGATTGAATGTACCTACATCTCAAAGTTGATGTTCATTCCAGGACTCGAAACCCGTACCATTAGCTTCAGGACTCAATAGCTGAGTAGATGAAGCGATGGCGTTTGAAGTGAACGGTACTGAATTTGAGTCTCGGAGTGAACATCAACTATGAGATGCAGGTACAATCAACTAATGAAACGCGCGTTTTGAATCCCACTGCTAGATACTATCCATCTTTGCATATAATGCTTGTGAATTAAGGCTATATCGAGACAGTCCGTACAGGATGTACATATGCTAATAAGAGACTGATCAATCGCAATCCTAAACAACAATGGGAAGGCACAATCAAAGAATAGCAAGTGAATTTCTCACCTTACTTTGTAATTGTTGACCCTTCAAGAATGAATCGTGTATTGTCTTACAATAAATCTAGAATCGAAATGTATCATAGTTTGTACAATTATTTATAATATTCTATTGTTAGGGTATTCATAGAATGGAAATAATTTAACAACTCATGAGTGACCTTAACTACACTGACAACTTTGAATGATTTTAAAACAGACCTTGAGTTCAATTCTTGAATATCGACCAATCAGAATGAATTATATGTTACGAAGAATAGCTCCATATGTTTCAAGGCTATCGGTAAAAACCGAAAATATTATCGTTCTACATAATAGATTTCAGCAAAGTTCATCAAAGTGTTCGTACGATGGTAGTTGGAGGTATTCAACAGGAAACTCTGAACCTAGGTTTCAAGCTATTTGGCACTCGTCAGAAAGATGTACCTGTTATCTTGATGAAACTGATGCTCTCCGATGAATTCGATCCCTTATTACCCAGCTACACAGTCATTGGTAACCATCTTATCTCAACATAGTGCACGCAATGTAGAGTCAATTAGACCAGTGACCAGATTACAACGTGGTCGATAAGATTCTATCTGCACTAACAAGGACCAGACATACATGACATTGATCACTATCCAGTGATCAACCAATTGTAATTGCTTTTTCATAATCACTGAGTGATCGATGACAGTATATTTTTTCAGCGTACTGATACTTTCTCATCGTCAAATTCCTATAGGGGATAATTCATTATGACATCAATATTTCTTTGACAAGTATTCCGTACTGTTGGATTCTTATCGATTTCAAATGATGGTTTTGTTGCTCTAATGACTATGTGAAAAGTGAGATTTCCTTATAAAGATTAGAAAAAACACCCATTAATTTCGTAGTTGATGTTATCATTCTTTGATTTGCCGCTGATTTACATCAAGGAATATTGCAAATGTTGTCGGTTAAGAATTAACGTTCTAGTGCTTATCTAGACTGTCTGTCATGAACAGACCAAATTACGACACCACTGATTATCGTCGAACAATCAGTTGAGTGGAACGCGTCACTATACATCAACTTCATTGATTATGAAAAGGCGTTTGACAATGTAGATAGGAGAACAATATGGAAACTTCTTCGACACTATGGAGTTTCTCAGAAGATTGCCAACATTATCCGGAACTCATACGACGGACTACAGTCCAAGGTCGTGCATGGAGGACAGCTGACAGATGCATTCCAAGTAAAAACAGGAGTTAGACAAAACTGTCTACTCTCCCCCTTCCTCTTTCTTCTGGTGGTCGACTGGATTATGAAGACCCCAATATCTGAAGGAAAACACTAAATACAATGGACAGCTCCGAACCAGTTAGACGACTTGGACTTCGCAGATGATCTAGCCCTTTTATCGCATACACACGAACAAATGCAGATAAAGACAGCCAGTGTATCAGCAGTCTCTGCATCAGTAGGCCTCAAAATACACAAAGGGAAAACCAAGGTCCTCAAATACAAGACGGAGAACAGCAATCCAATCACTCTTGATGGCGAAACTCTGGAAGATGTAGAATCATTCACATATCTGGGAAGCATCATCGATGAAGAAGGAGGTTCAGATGCAGACGTAAGGCGAGGATTGGTAAAGCAAGCACAGCACTCCTACATTTGAAGAACATATGCAACTCAAAACAACTGTCTCTCAACATATATCAAAGTCAGAATCTTCAATACCAACGTTAAGGCAGTTCTACTGTACGGAGCTGAAACTTGGAAAATTACTACAGCCATCATCAAGATGGTACAACTGTTTATAAATAGTTGTCTACGCAAGATACTCAACATCCATTGACCGGATACCATCAGCAACAGCCTTCTGTGGGAAAAAACAAAGCAGCTTCCAGCTGAAGAGGAAATTAGGAAAAGGCGATGGAAATGGATAGGACATACATTACGCAAATCATCAAACTGCATCACGAGGCAAACCCTAACTAGGAATCGTGAAGTGAAGAGGAAAAGAGGAAGGCCAAAGAGCACACTACGTCGGGAAATCGAACCAGATATGAAAAGGATGAATAAGAACTGGAAAGATCTGTAAAGGATTGCCGAGGACAGGGTTGAGTGTAGAATGCTGGTGAGTGGCCTATATTCCTTCACGAGGAGTAACAGTTGTAAGTAATTAAGTAAGTAAGTTTACCTGGACTATGTGGTTCAGTGGATAATACGGTGATGTTAACAGCGAACGATGCTGAGTTCGAGTCCTACTGTGAATATCAACACTGAGATGCAGGTACATCCAGACAACGAGTATCAAATAGGATGAATCATGCTTCTTAAATTTCACTTCCAGTCACAATTATTATGTAATAATGACAATATTGAGGCAATCCACACAAGATGTACATTTGCCAAATAAGACTGAATATCAATAACAAGCTGATTTCAAACCCTTTCTAAGCATCATGTAGATCAGAAAAATCTTCCAATATATCATTAATGTGAAGAAAGACTAGACGGTGATAAGATTTCTCCCCCTCCCTTCTCTCTCTCTCTATCCCTCCCATTTAACACATTGTATTTTACTATCAAATCAACATTCGGTAGACATGACATCTTACTTACGCCTGTTACTCCCAATGGAGCATAGGCCGCCGACCAGCATTCTCCAACCCACTCTGTCCTGGGCCTTCTTTTCTAGTTCCATCCAATTCTTGTTCATTTTTCTCATATCTATCTCCATTTCTCGGCGTAATGTATTCTTTGGTCTTCCTCTCCTCCTTCGACCTTGAGGATTCCATGTGAGAGCTTGTCTTGTGACGCAGTTCGGTGCTTTCCTCAATATGTGTCCTATCCACTTCCAGCGTTTCTTCCTGATTTCTTCCTCCACTGGGATCTGATTTGTTCTCTCCCACAGTAGGTTGTTGCTTATAGTGTCCGGCCAACGGATCCGAAGTATTTTGCGTAGACAACTGTTAATAAACACCTGTATCTTTTGGACGATGGATTTCGTAGTTTTCCAGGTTTCGGCCCCATACAGTAGAACTGTCTTGACATTTGTATTGAAAATTCTGACTTTGGTGTTGGTTGCTAATTGTTTTGAGTTCCAGATATTCTTCAGTTGTAAATATGCTGCTCTTGCTTTGCCAATCCGTGCCTTCACATCTGCATCAGATCCACCGTGTTCATCGATGATACTGCCCAAATATGTAAAGATTTTTACATCTTCCAAAGCTTCTCCGTTAATTGTGATTGGATTGGTACATTCTGTGTTGTATCGAAGAATCTTGCTTTTCCAGACATGACATCACTGTGACTATAAGTTTGAAAAACAAACCCAACACATTAATTATTATCTTCTTAGAAAATCACTTACCCTGGTGCATAATTACAAACAATCAAATAGTTCTTTCCACACTTTTCATAACCGCAACCTATTTCTTCAGTGGTATTCCAAACCATCTGAAAAATTGAAAGGAGATCAAGTAACCATTGATAATAGTTTAAGAAGCTTCAAATGTCTGTCCATAACCATATTCATAATAAGCTCAAGCATATCACCACATATCTTATTAACTGACTTCAGAACTATGGGGAATACAGCGAACTCTTTCATTAAAAGCCCAGAAAAAAATAATCGAGAACAGTAGAGAATAATATTGAGATGGTGGGGAAGATTTGTGGATCAGGTGGATAATATTGGTGGAGTTTTATTCTCTGAGCTGGATGGTTTGATCGTGGAGCTTTCACCGTTCTTCTAAACAACATCATAAGCATAAAATTCAAGTAGAAGTAAAGCATTCTGATTTCTCCATATATGACTCCCAGATTGTTCTGTAGACCTCAATGTTGATTGGTTATTGTTAATCTTAAATCTGTCCTTGTTTACTTCTTTATTTTGATTGCATCTCCCATTGATTTGGTTCTTACGCTGAATGTGTCTTTCAGAATAACAGTGCAAGCTCCACGATCAAACCATCCAGCTCAAAGAATAATTTACAATATACAATAGTTTATAAATCGTAAATGTAATTATCGAATAGTACCAAAAGCACATAGCCTCTTCATATAGTAACTCAAATGGGAAACTTTTGATATTGATAAGCAAAAATGAGAAGATCAAAAGAGATCAGAGGGAAAGGTAACATCGAAATAGATACCAGGTGACATGGTTTTTAATTACTGAATGTTGAATAATATAAACTTAAGAAGATTCTAACAGGGTGTTTAAGTTGTTTTCACTTTCTCACGCTAAAATTTACAGTTTAATATTTAAGATTAAATGTGAGACCATAGATCATCGCTTTCTGAGTAACAAGCATTAATTCATTTCAAGGGGATCTAAGCAGGAGTAGATTGGTATACATATGTTGAAATCATCCGCTTACCTAACAAAAGTACTTTTTGTGGAACATAGGTAATGATGAAGAAAGGATAAGAGAGAAAAATAAACAACGACTCATTGTGGTACACTACCTTTAGTTAATAGCTATCGGTTTTAACGCCGGTAAACTTGTTTATAAATAGTATTTATAGAAGAGAGTTAAAAGCAGAAGTATAGTGTAGAAATGTGATCGTATACTAAATAAAGCGCTCAACCAATTTTGAAAGTCAGTTAGTCAGTAACAACGGATATCTTGTCTACTTCATAAATGACTCAAGTTGGCAAAAGCTAGTCGAGCCTTCTGTATCCGTGCTGAGATTTCGTCACACACCAGACCACAACGGGCTGATGAGACTCCCAAGTTAAGTAAAGCGGTCAACATGCTCAACTACTTCACTCCCTATCATTAATTCGGATGTCGATGCAACCCAATCCTGAAGTAATATTTTGCATTTCGATTAGTATAATCGCATCCTGAACATGCTTTCATTGTTACTTACGGTGGTCAAAAAGCCATGCTTTTTGTCAGCGTCTTTATCAAATAGAACTACGTCATCGGCATATTCTAAGTCAACAAGTGGATCTCCCGGTAAAAGTTCAACTCCTGGAAATTTAGACGAGGAAAGTGTCATCTCTAAAAGCACATCAACGATAAAATTAAACAAGAATGAATAAAATGGACAGCTTTGAAAAAGTTGTATTATACAAACTTATTTGCCTAGTATATATACAACTATACTCAATATACATGGGAATGGGGACTCGAACCTAGGACATTTGGTCTCATACATGATCATCCAATCAATAAATCATTAATTAAAAACAAACCTGTTTATAATTTTTACAATCTCCATTACATGTATTCGTTTGAAAATTATAATTTTTATGTTCATTTAACCAATCCTTCATAGCACTATTAAAATGAAATAGTTCATGAATATTATATTATCATAAATAAATTTACCCTTCAATTGTTGGATAATCAGCTAGATTTTGTCCAATTGATTCAAAATCACCAATTATAAAATCATTTGAATCATTTGAATCATATTTACATCGTTTAGATTGTTGTTTAGCTTTTTTAGCTAAAAATTTATTCCATTTCTTGACAATAATAGATTACAAAACTGTTTAGAATAGGATATATATTCAATAAGATTATAATGAAAGAATCAAATGGAAATAAGTAAAAAAAGAGTTTATTACTAATGAATTATTTCTAGGGAAGCTTTAACTTAGATGGTGATTGGAGGTAGTCGACAGGAAACCCTGAACCCGGGTTTCGTGCTACTTGGCACTCGTCAGCAAGGTGTACCCGTTATCTTCGAGGGAACTGGTGCTCTCTGGCGGATTCGATCCTGTGTCACCCAGCTTCACAGTCACAGACGTTACCACTGAGCTATCCGGGCCGCGACCCACCTCCTGTAGGACTGAGATGTAATCACAATTGATTGATCACTGGGTGACCAATGTCATGCGTGTCTAGTAATAATAATGACTAGACACGCATGACATTGGTCACCCAGTGATCAATCAATTGTGAAGCTTTAACTTATCTTAGTCAACGATTTAGTTTTCTATGGGATGGGGTCGTTAACCTCATGTCCAATCCTCGTCGTTTACCCGAGCTTGAAACCGGGAATAATTCTAGAAGAGCTACAGGCTACAAAGAGGTTAAGATGTAGATGTAAAGGTGAGGATTGATAAAGCAAGCACGGCATTCCTACAACTCAAAACAACTGACTGTCAACTAATATCAATGTCATAATCTTCAATACTAACATCAAAGCTGTTCTATTGTACGGAGCTGAAACATGCAGAATTACTACAAGCATCATCAAGAAGGTACAAGTATTTATAAATAGCTGTCTATGCAAGATACTCAATATCCTTTGGTCGGATACTATCAACAAGAACCTACTACATGAGAGGACAAACCAGCTTTAAGTTAATGAGGAAATTAGGAAATGACATTAGATAGGACACACATTGATGAACTGATCAAACTGCATCACGAAACAAGCGCTAACTTGGAATCGTGGACGGAAACGGAAAAGCCGAAGACCAAAGAATACACTACTTTAGGAAGTGGAAATAACTGTGAAGATCTTTGTGCCCAGTAAGTGGATCAAATCACTCCGAATTGTTGAATTGATATTGCATTCTTAATCAAATGGTCGGATAATATGTGCCTATAGTTTTTAATTTAATTTCTCAGGTCATGTGCACGAATTGATTAATTTATTATTTATTTATTTGAACTCATAGATATTGCTATAAGGAGGCACCAGATACATATGCGTCACACAAATGTCATTTGATTTGTGTTAGAGCTGTGATACTGCCCGAGTGCCCAAAGCAAATCAGATGGTTTTTTAGGGGGTCACACCCCGAACCTTCTACTTGAGGGTCTGATCCACAAGGCAGTCAAGCAACGTCAGGAGGTGCAGTCGCATGGTAGACGGTGACCAACGATTGGTTCATACGCCATCTGTTTCCTCAGGATACCGGAGCCCATGTGCATCATTGGTTTGAAATGAGGGTTTTCCAACTCTGCTAGATGGACTCTCCATATCCACCAACCCTGTTAAAGCGAACGAATTGACTAAGTGCTTAGATGAAACAAAAAGTTCTATTTTGCAGATCAATCAATACTGACTTACGAGTTTTGCTAGTTTTACAGCTGGAGGTTGACCAGGTATCTTACAATTTTGTACATCTTGACGGACTTGTTTATGAAATTTGTAGATTGCACGTAATTCTTTGGATAACTTTGTCTCCACATATAGAAATGTGAATAGTAATAGTAAATAGGTAATTAGACTAATCTTAAACATATTATGATTAGAGAAATTATAGAAGAATGCACAGAAGAGTATATTTATACAGTATATGACAATGACAGATCACATATAGCACAGGTCAATTCATTATCAATGATTGAATGTTACTGATTATTAATTAAATAGTATATAAAATGATATGACTTATGAGTTGAAAGTGAAAGATTGTCTACTTGTCAATTAGGCTTAATTTCCAGGAAGTGGTTGAAAAAGCTTACAGAAATAGATTTCATTAACTACTATGGAAGAAAAAGACATGTTATAATGGATTCATCACTGTATAACAACGGTGAACTGCAACAATCAATCATTCTCATTGTCTATTGCTTATCTATGACAATAGAATAGGTTTGGTTTCAGTAAGGAAAACTGTGTTTCTAAACGTACTATTGTTTTACTGGAAACACATAACAAATATCGTTAATTGTCAAAATGCGGGGTTTGTGAAGATTGTGTCAAGTACTGAATGGCTGTTTCATCCTAGTATGGGACTCCTCGACAGTGCGCGTTCATGATCCTACACTCAGAAATGCGAATCTAAAGTCCTCAGTCTCGCGCGCAAACGTCTGACCTCTAGACCAATGAACCGGCATACAAAGGTGTTAGTTCCAACTAGTGACTAGCTTCAAGATGGATTTTCTGGAATTCTTTCTAGTGAGAAGTCGTGACCAGTAGATTCCGATCCATGTCGGATAGAGATATGTATCTGCCTCGGACAATAGATGAATGGTTGCGCAATATTATGAGTCGTTTGAAGTTGAACATTTGCACCCTTAAATGTCGAATCAGTTGTCTACGAGTTAAGTGTTCACTCACGAGACCGATAGTCCTGGGTTCAAGTCCCACTTGCGAGATTATCGATACACGCTGATGAGTAAGTTCGGACTAGGACGAAACGGTCTTCAGGTGCTTACAGGCTTCCTATGGTGATCTAGCCCAGATCAACTCATGAATTCAACTATTCAAATATCGTTGACACATATTTTATGATTTGTATTCATTCTGACTGAAAAGTAATAGATTAAGTTAGGATAATTGCTTAAGATTTAGTAAGATGACAAAGTGACAACTAACTGGACTGTAATATCGTACAAGATTTATTATTTTATTGGTAACATCATAATACCCAACACATCTTTTTAATTAATCATGTGAAGGAACGAGGGTATAATTACACATGACATGTGAGGGTTAATTATTCAGATCAAAACTATTATCCCACCGTTGATTCATTGCTTTGGATTGTTAATTGTTTTATAACTAGGCGGAGTCTCCCGATTGGCTGATAAGTCGACTAAAGTCATCAGTACAGTATACTTTTAATAGTTGAATTCTTGAGTCAATTGAAGTTAGACCACCATCAAAAACCTAGGAGCATTGGACGGTCGTTTTGTTCTAGCATGGAACTCCTCAGCAGTGCGCATGCATGATCTCTCTCGCGAGATCTGAACCAGGGACATATCGGTCTCGTGTGCGAACACTTAATTTCTAGACCAATGGACCAGACTGCATCCAAACTTGTTAATATCTAAGTCCAACCAATCCATGAAATTTATGTATAATGAGGAGAGATACATATATATATTTGAATTCATGAGTCAGATGAAGCTAGACCACCTAGGAAAACCTGGAAGCATTGGACGGTCGTTTCGTCCCAGGATAGAACTCCTCAGCAGTGCTCACTTATAAGACTTAATGGTCTCGTGCGCGAGCGCTTGACCACTAGACCACTGAGCTGGCCGGCATCTAACGGTGTTAATATCTAACTTCAACCAATCCATCAGATTCCGCCACCTAGCACCATTGTCTTCAATGAGTCACTATCTCACAACAGACCAAGTTTGACTCCACTAATCACGATTTCTCACCAGAATTCCAGGAAATACCTCTTAGAGACCTTCACTAGTGAACACACGATGGTAATTATTATCAGAAGGTGGTTTTGTGGAGGTTTTTATTACTGAGATTTCCCATACTATGATGAAACATCCGTTCAATGCTTTCAGATTTTTCATGGTGATCTAGTTTTATTTGGCTCATGATCTCAACCAATAAAATGACTAATCCTATCCACAAAAACCCCTCTTCTAATACTAATCTTTTTATTATTTATCCAATAATTAGGATATTCTATCATTTATTCCATAATCATATATATACCGATCTAATGTTGAATTAATGACATGTTGTTACTAATTAAAAAACTGTCAAAAAAACAACCCCCCCAAAAAAAAGATCAAAATTTATTGATTTTTCAAAAAAGAAAAAAATTTTTTTTGATATAAATTTTTCATTTTATTCAATGATTATTTTGTAATTCAATTCAATGATTCAATTTACTTTGAAAATATGTTTGATTATTATATTGAATATTTTCATAATAAATACAGAGAGATCATCAAAGGAGATGATTTATAAATTTCATAATAAGGTACGAAGAGATGTACTTAAAGGTGTTTTATCGAATCAACCTAAAGCGAAAAAGATGCCTAAACTTGTAAGTTATCGTTTTTTTTAATACTTACTTACTTAGTTAGTTAGTTACTAATGCCTGTTACCCCCCTGGTGGGGGAGTATAGGTTACCTTTCAGCATTTTTGATTCCTATAATTAAGATCAAAACAAATTTGATTATAGTTGAAAGGTTTTTGGAAATTAGTTAAAATAGAAGTTGAATGTTTAATTTTTAAATCCATCGGTGTTAATTGCGGCTAGTGACTGAATTCAAGATGGATTTTCTAGAATTTTTTCTAGTGAGAAACCGTGGTCAGTGGATTTCGATCCGTGTCGGACAGAGACAGGGATCTACCTCGGACAATAGATGAAGAGTTGATCAAGATTGTGAATCGATTGACTTTAAACATTTGCACTGTTGAATATCTGCTCAGTGGCTAATTAGTCCCACGTACGAATGCTTAATATGTAGACCACTGATTTGACATTTAAGGGTGCAAATGTTCAACTTCAAACGACTCATAATATTGCGCAACCATTCATCTATTGTCCGAGGCAGATACATATCTCTATCCGACACGGATCGGAATCCACTGGCCACGACTTCTCACTAGAAAGAATTCCAGAAAATCCATCTTGAAGCTAGTCACTAGTTGGAACTAACACCGTTGTATACCGGCTCATTGGTTTAGAGGTCAGACGTTTACGAGCGAGACCGAAGGCCCTAAGTTCCGTATAAGCTTTCTTATCTGTGCGCGTATTAATGATTTCACTTGAGATTGTTCTCAGAACATTAAGCTTTCGTTAAGATACAGTTATTTTGGAACGACAACAAGTCATTTGAAAAAACCAAACTTTTGAAAATTTATAATGAAACATAAAACAAAGAAGATGAAGACAAGAAAAGTCCACTATGATATGTAGGAATTGCTTTAAATGAGAGAAGGTAGATTCAACTCACATTTATGAAATGATAATTTTATAACTTCAGTTCATGTGTTTATTAGACAGATTACATTTTCATTCAGTTAAGGGATTACTGTAATAACACATAATGTCCATGATTTAGTACTGATAAACACTTTTCTATAAACGAGTCCGGCTATTAGAGAGGAAAGTGAAAGCAAGAAAGCAAGTTTACTAGGCTTAACTAAATCATATCTATGAAAGATTAATTCTATCAATGATTTGTATTTTCAATGGTTAAGATCATGATTCATTTGAAGCTAGACCACCATGGAAAATCTGGAAGCACTGGACGGCCGTTTCGTCCTATTATGGGACTCCTCAGCAGTGCGCATCCACATTCCATGGTGGTCTAGCTTCAACTGACTCATGATCTTAACCATTGTAATCACTACAATCTCCAAAAAACCTTTTCTGATAATAATCACCATATACTCACTATTGATTGGCTTCAAGACGTATATCCTGGAGTTCTAGTGAGAAGTAGTGACCAGTGGAGTTCAACCGGGTCAGTTGTGAGATAGTAACTCACTGAAGACAATGGTGGTTGATGGCGGAATTCGGTGGATTGGTTGAAGTTAGACATTAACACCGTTGAATGCCAGCCGGCTCAGAGGTCTAGTGGTTACGTGCTCGCACGCGAACCCAGTAGGTCCTAAGTTCGAATCTCTCAGGGGGCAAGGTCGTGTGTGCGCACTGTTGAGGAGTCCCACAATAGAACGAAACGGCCGTCCAATGCTTCCAGGTTTCCCATGGTGATTAAGCTTCAACTGATTTGTGATCTTAACCATTGAAATTACTACAATCTCCACAAAGCCCCTTCTGATAATGATTTGTATTTTATTGGTTGAATATAGAAAATACGTTTGACCAATCAAAAGCAAATATCATTTACTGAATTCTGATTGGCCCATTATATCACTGATTGCATTTAATTACATAATCATTGTATACAAATATTAATTACTTTACTTTAAGAAATGGAATGATCTGTTAGCTGAAAAAGCTAAAAATCATGTTGAAAAATGTATATTGGATAGTGGAGATCTTGGAGAATTATACGTTGGTAAATTTGATTCTGTTGGACAAACTGTAGCGGAACATACTTCAATAGAAAAGTAAGTTGTGTACAACATTATCTGGAATTATTTACACATTCTAGTTTCTTTTTTTATGCTTATGTTAAAGATAAAGGTAGGGAATCGAAAGCTTGGGATGATACAACTTGACTATATATGAAGTAGTCTAGTTGCAATCAGTTGATCTTGGGTTCGAACCCACTTAAATTAATTCAAATAGTACTACTTAGCTTGGATATTTATGGTGAGTTTTGGTCAAACATTTCTTACATTTAATAGTTGAATTCATGAATCAAATGAAGCTAGATCATTATGAAAAACCTAAGAAGTACTGAACGGCTGTTTTGTTCTAGCCTGAGCATTCGACCACAGAACGTATCAACCTTGCGCTCGAGGTGTGATCGTGGATGAGCATTTCTGAGGAGTCCCATACTAGGACGAAATGGCCATTCAGTACTTTTAGGATTTTCAGGGTGGTCTAGATTCAATTGACTTA